CGCAGACAAACATACAGTCGACATAAATAAATGTAGAAATATATAAATATGGAATAGAAGAAGAACGTTGCAGATATATACATGTGCATTATTCTGGGTCTGTGCCGTGCAGAAGTAACGCAACGGAAGAGAATATGGTGTACATATAAATATATAAACTAGACAGCATAAAAATATACAACAAAGATCACCAATAAACAAATATGTGCGACATGCCAGGTCTGTACCCGACACAAGATGAAACAGTATTTACATGTGCAGAGACACTTGTATCATTTGCAAGGGGGGAGTGTCAGTGGGGGAGAAGAAACTGTTTTTGTGGCGAGAGGTTTTGGTCCTGATGGACCGCAGCCTCCTGCCAGAGGGGAGAGTCTGAAACAGTTTGTGTCCGGGGTGGGAGGAGTCAGCTGCAATCTTTCCTGCTCGCCTCAGAGTCCTCGAGGCGTACAGGTCCAGAGGAGAAGGAAGATTGCAGCCAATCATCTTCTCTGCAGAGCGAATGATGCACTGCAGTCTGCCCTTGTCCCTGGCAGTGGCAGCAGCGTACCAGATGGTGATGGAGGAGGTGAGGATGGACTCAATGATGGCGGTGTAGAAGTGCACCATCATTGTCTTTGGCAAGCTGAACTTCAGCTGCCGCAGGAAGTACATCCTCTGCTGGGCCTTCTTGGTGAGGGAGGTGATGTTCAGCTCCCACTTGAGGTCCTGGGAGATGATGGTGCCCAGGAAGCAGAAGGAGTCCACAGTAGTAACTGGGGAGTCACACAGGATGATGGGGGAGGGTGGGGCTGGGCTCTTTCTGAAGTCCACGACCAACTCCACGGTCTTCAGAGCGTTGAGCTCCAGACTGTTCTGGCTGCACCAGGTCACCAGAGGGTCGATCTCCCACCTGTAGGTGGACTCATCCCCACCTGAGATGAGCCCAAATAGGGTGGTGTCATCCACAAACATCAGGAGCTTGACAGACTGGTGACTGGAGGTGCAGCTGTTAGTGTACATGGAGAAGAGAAGGGGGGAAAGAACGCAGCCTTGAGGGGAACCCGTGCTGATGGCCCAGCTTCACGTGCTGCTTCCAGTCCGTCAGGAAGTCTGTGATCCACCTGCAGGTGGAGTCAGGCACGTTCAGCTGAGAGAGCTTGTCCTGCAGCAGCGCCGGGATGATGGTGTTGAAAGCAGAGCTGAAATCCACAAACAGGATCCTGGCGTAGGTTCCAGGGGAGTCCAGGTGCTGGAGGATGTAGTGAAGGGCCATGTTTACTGCATCATCTACAGACCTATTGGCTCTGTAGGCGAACTGCAGGGGTTCCAGGAGTGGGTCTGTAATGGATTTTAGGTGGGACAACACAAGGCGTTGTGGTGTCCGAACAATAATGCTGCGATGATGTGTTGAGAAGAAATCCGCTTGACACTGTTCTTGATCATAAAAGTTTATTAGATCAAGGAGTTCAGCATCAATTACAAGCTCTGCAGCAGCTTGGAGAGTGACCCAGCCCGATGGCCACTCTGTCTCTCTGTACATCAAACATAGCTTATATAGGACATGTTTAGGTATCTGCTAAATACCATATAAAGGTCTGAGTCTGCAAAATAAGGCTCCAATCCATATAAGAGCAAAGTTCTAGTGTAAACATCTTGTTGGACACCAGATAAGGGTCTGAGCCTCCACGTAACCACTGACCTCTGCTCTCCCCTTAAAGGTCACTAATCCTCTATCCAGCTGCTACAGTGTTATTTTAAACTGTTATGCGTCAAATGCACATATGTTATACACCACAGTGTTCAAAGGACTTCATAACCACAGAGGTCAGGGCGACGGGTCTATAGTCGTTTAATCCTGTGGTCCTTGGTTTCTTGGGGACAGGGATGATGGTGGAGGCTTTGAAGCAGGCTGGCACATGGCATGTCTCCAGTGAGGTGTTAAAAATGTCTGTGAACACCAGAGACAGCTGATCAGCACAGTGCTTCAGGGCGGATGGGGAGACATTCCGACCCAGCTGCTTTGCGGGGTTTCTGCCTCCTGAAAAGACCGTTGACTTCCTTCTCTGTGATGGAGAGAGGAGGGTAGGGTGTGCATATATAAATTATGGTTCACATTGCAATAAATTCTCTATATATATGTACACTCATTTTGTCTTTACTTCTGACTGAAAATGTAAGCTTCAGATTCTGTCAATTCAAAGGACAAGCTAATCTTACAATACATTGAAGCTGAACTCTTGCTAAGGGAGATTACACTGATCGAATGCACCTGTGATAAATTTGTGCATCTCTACAGTGAAAGCCTCCTAATACCTGTGCTCACACCTTCTACAGGGCTTCAAAAATATTCAGTGTGCAGATAATTCTTTGGTTTTCACAATAGAGTAACTTCTCCGTGATTGTCACATTCATCTCTTAAAGAAATGTCCAAATAAAACAAATATAGAACATCAGCTTTTCACAGATTAAAAATGCATGCAGCTGGAGAGCCTAGTCAAACTCAGAAGCAAACTCAGGAACATGGCCATGGTTAAAGCCCAGCTAAGTTTCTGTCTTTACCGACATCACAACTGCAACCACCGCAGCTTCCCCCTGAACCCTCAACCCTGTCCATCAGTCAAGGTGGAGCCACTTATTCTAGTGACACAGTAACTCTGTTACAGTAACTTTAATGTTATCCAAAACTAACTATGTCTATTCGGCAAGTTTACCTTTAATACTGCATAACGTCAGCTAACTGACGAGGTGGGCCATTAATGTTACTTTACTACTTAACTTCTAACAGACGCCTTTTCTTCCAAAGTGTTGTCACCATAAACTCAAACACTTCTTTAATACATTTTCACTTCTGTGCACGATTCTTTAAAAACTGCAGTTAACACTGTCCAGTTATTTGAGCATCGTTACCAAAGCTTGAAGTTGGCTAATTAGTTGGTTAGATGATGTTAGCTAAGCTAATGTTATGTACCCATACCTGCTAATTATTGTAACAAATAACTAAAATGCTAGAATTTCACTCACCAACTGGAGCACAGGCTTGTGAGGGTTCTCTTTCTCTACAATAAATCACACAGCCTGCCATTATTCATCCAGTATCTGCATGAAGAAATGCCCAAAAAGCACAAACATAGCAGAGCTACATAGCTCTGTGACTGACTGTATTAGCTGAGCTAACAGACGACAGTCGATTAGCAGTGACAGCGACAGCAGCCACCTGTCAATCAAAGCGGCCACGCCTCTAATAATGCAGAACATTAAGGCTTAATATAATTTAAATGGGGTGAGTTATAAAAAAAATCACTCACAGTTGTCATGAAGGCCAAAATTGACTATGTAAACTGAAACTATCTTTTGTACCAGGCTGTAAACATGTTTTATCCTGCTGTAAAGTTGGGCATTTTAACATGGGGGGGTCAATGGGGATTGACTCCCTTTTGGAGCCAGCCTCAATTGGCTTGCAATTTGGTACAATTTTAGGCATTTCTGGTTCAGCTTCAGTCCGGAAACTGGAAGGTTACGGCTTGGTTCGAATCCCACCTCTTGCAGTTGTGATAATTGCTTTAACTTAAAACACCTGTGTAGTAGTGGTGGGAATCTCTGGGCACCTCACGATTCGATTACGATTCAGAGGGCTGCGAGTCGATTATAAAACGATTATCGATGTATCTTGTTGCATCATTTTTTTTTCTATAAAGGATCCCTGGATAACTAGTAAGCATTTAATTTGCGCATTAAAATCCAAAAGAAACATATCCTAATTAGCTTAAAAGGACGTCTGCATCCCTAATTTACTTTCTTAACCTCAGCTCCATGGTTCCTCATTTCTTTAACAGCCAGTTGTCAGACTTTTCTGAACACTGAAAAATAATTATCAGGATGCGCAGTATGTATACAGGACAGAGCTGTACACCAGTTTAGTCTATGCTTGTACCAGATGTTCTCAACCCTTGACTAGTCAGTTAGTTAGTAATGGCATACAGCTGATAATTAATATTACTTCGTTATGTAAATAAATATTATTAGTGCCTTTCACGTGACCCAAGGACGCTTTACACATAGTTACAGTGACAGAACAACAAAAAGTCATCCAGGATTGAATGCCTTGGTAAAGAGCTGGGTTTTCAGTAGATTTTTGAAAATGTCCATAGAGGTTGCATTTTGGATCTCTTGGGGATGAGTTCCAGACGGTGGGGGCTGTGACGCTGAAAGCTCTGTCCCCAAAAGTCCGGAGTCTGGTGAGGGGGACAGAGAGCAGGCCCTTGTATAGGGGAGATGTTAGCTAGCGCTAACAGCCTTCACTTTTCCAGCTGTTGGGGAAACTACAGACTTTTATTAACAGACACACAGTGACCTACACTGCACGTTTACTACTAGACAGAAACTTACTGCTAATACGTCACTGCTAACTTTCACCGTCACGTTCTGCCGCTCGCTCTCTCTCATTCCGCCCTACCCTACTGTGTAGTGTCGTTCAGTGGTTGTCTTTAAATTTGTATATTGTTGGTAACGGAATACACTTAGTTTTTTTTGTATCCTATTATGTAACACTGTTACATGTAATCTGTTACTCTCCAATCCTGTTCACCGGACAATGTAGGGAACGCTTTTTTAACTTGGCATATTGACATTCTGCTCTGGTGGCTAAACATTTCCCAAATTACTCTATTGTCAGATAGAGAAAGATAATATCAGCACCTAAAGTATCCAAAATCTCAAGGTAACATTAACTTAAACACATGTCCTTAACTACATTTCCCCCTCCTATTTAGCAAAAGCACCTTAAATTCACCTTCTCAGCTACATAATCCACGCACAGTTGGATTATATATTTATTCTATTGTCCAATACTGTGCCAACATTACCCACCATGTAACTTATACATGTTATTATGCAGATCACCTCCCTCTTGCTCAGTAATGACACTGCATGAAGGGAAACAGCATGAAAGTAAAATTACCATGCAAATCAGTCATGTAAATGACACTGTAGGAACCTGCTATCTCTATTATTGCTGTCTGATCTCCATCGATTCAGGGGCAGGGATGATATCATAAATCAATGTAACTGTTTTAAACTCTCTCCGAACCTACATTTAGTCTGCGCTTACTTAAAGTGTCTTTTTAAAGAATAAAGGTTTTGTTTAATGAAATATGGAGTGCTAAATTGACCCACCTGGTTGGTAGAATGAGGGCATTAAGAATTTATTTGTATGTCTTAATTTTCTTCCCTCCCTTTCCTTGTCTCTCCTTCCTTCACCTATCTAGTCTTCCATCTGTCTCCATCATTCCTTCCTTCTCTTCCTCCTTCACTTATCAATTCACCCTCTCCTCATCATCGCCCACCCTTAGTCCTTTCTGCTTTCCTTCCTCACATTGGCTCTTTGTTTTATCTCTTTCCATTCATCCCTTCCTTTATACTTTTTTCCCAATCCTTCCTTCATTTCCTTTCTCCCTCCTTTCATTTGTCTCCTCTTTCCTTTTCTGCCTGCCTTCCTACCTACCTCTCTCCTTATTCCACTTTTTCATTCCTTTTCCCTCACTCGTTTTCCTTCTCTGTCCATTCCTCCCACTCTTTATCTCTTCCAGGCCTGACTGATGGTGTGTTGGCTGATGGCAGGGATGGTGGGTGAGGGATTGCCCCTGCCAGCCTTTGACATTGGGACCGATTTAGGCCGGGGAAACGATCGATGTTAAATCTAATTTTAAACACCCCCAGTTTAACTCTGCCAGACAAACGGAGACTAAAGGCCAGCATCTGACAACACAGCTGAGGCAACCTGATAAGACCTACCGTCAAAGTCTGCCTGCAAGTATGTTTGCATGCATGCATGTGTTTGTCTGTGTTGCATTCTCACTTGAAACAACTTACTTGACACAGGAGCCATTTGTCCTATACATAATGGAAGTTGGAGGGTACTACCTTATAGACTGAATTGAGGATTTGTGTGTTCAATTCACCAACATTACACAGCATAGAATTAAACAGCATAGAAACCAATACTTGCTGATATACTGCAATAAAAGTTCTGTTGAATTGTGTACAATAAAGGCTGTATATTACTTAGCTTTACCAACCAATTAGTCAATATTTCTGTGGTTGAATATTCAAAATAGGAAGGCATTTGGGCACACAGTAGCAGACTCTTCCCCATGAGGACTAAAGAGGCCTACAATATATAAAGTGCCAAATCTGAGGGTTTGGTGGATGAGTATCACTGGCAGGGGTGACTTTACGGCTGTTTGACTGTTGAGTGAGTTGTCAAAGGGTTTCAAGTCTGTCTGCAGGACTGACAGGATCTTGGGCATTGCAGGCATGTACAAGCAAACGTCAACCAGAGTGAACAGAGTATCTATAGATTGAGGGGTGTAATTTTGGGGGTTTACTTGCTACTGTCAAGTGTAGAAAAGGCTTTGAAACAGCATAAGAAGGAACATTTACAGAACAACTTGTTGAATGGTTAAATAGGTTGGTAGCTTGTCAAAAATAGTATAATTTTAATTTAACCTCCACTATTTATCATTTAGAAAGTATATGTCAAGAATTTCAACAAATCTATGAAGCATCATTAACTTCCTAAAACCCTCAATAACATAGTATAAGATGGACGTAATCAGATATAATGATATAAGTTTTCACACATGAACAAATCCTTCCAGTGAGTAGAGGAGGCATTATAATTGTTAAAAATGCTTACAACTACACTATAGTGAGTTGTGCTAGCTAGGAATGTCACGATTACCAATACTTCTGTACCAAGTCAATGCCAAAATTCTGAAAACGTGACTAGGTATCATAGGTACTAGGGATCCAACACTTGGAGGATGGCGACAAGTGCAGCTGCAGCGACAGCTCCGCTTCGAGAAAGAAAAACTCTAAGACTTGTGTATGTAAACCAGGGTGAAGTTTAATCATTTTTCTTTTGTCAGTTTTCACTGCTGTTAGTTTTTTAATTGTGCTGTCCAACCGTAAACTTAAATTAATAGCCCAGACTTTTATTTGCTAAAATCACCTGTCTGGCAGACTGATTAGCACACCTGATCTATATCATGTCATTCTGTGCTGCTTCATAAGCCCTGCAGTTCTCCTCAGCCTTCGCTGGATTGTTATGTTGTATAGAGTAGGTCTTTTGCTGGCACCCAGCCTTGTTGCGACCATTGTTCCCTGTTATGCCTTGTGATTAACTTCATCTTTGTCTTTGGTTTTCTTAGTCTGGAGAGGACGCCTTCCCTTATGCCCATACGTGCCTGTTTTTTCTGGAGGAGCACACACTGCCTGCCGTCCCTGCCTATCGTCGAGCCTGCCACCACGCTCAATCACTCGCTCCCACCTTGTCTTGCCTGCCTCTCAATAAAGTCTGTGAAAAGGCCTCCCGTCTCTGTCTGCTTCTGGGCTCTGGTTAAACCATATCTGACAGAAGGTGGACCATTGAGTTCACCGAAGTAAATGAAAAATATAACATGTGGATTGTTTAATATTGTTATTTAATCAACAAGATTTTACAAAGCACGCTAACACCTGGCTCATCTGTCAGAACAAATGCTTTTATTCTTCTGTAGGTTAACGTTAGGTGTTATCAAACTTTTTAGTTTTTATTGCACTGAATTAAGAACAAGACGACCATATTTTCTTTCTCGTAACGTACACATTTATTTTGCGATAGTCTGATGTTATAATTGACCATGGAGTCGATCCCTTGGTCATTAATGTTTGGAAGCTAGATCCAGACACACTGTGACCTTTTGTAAAGAAGCTGCTCCTACAAATAGCTAAGACGGTCGATACCATAAAATTAAGATCACTGTAATCAATTGAACACATTGCTCGCCTTAATCAACATCTAACCTACTTGACTTGAAATGTACATTTGAAATGGAGGGAGACAATATTTTGTCTTTGTAATCCAGTTTCCATATTGTTGTAAAAAGGGTTAATTATTATAACTTCATTTAATAATGCATTGCGTTTAAGAAGCACTTTTCATAAACACAAAGCGATTACCGTATTGGTCCTACCAGGTTGGACATGCAGTCTGCCAAAATATGTTTCCTCCTCCATAATGTACATAATGTATTTTATTTTGCGTATGGGTTACTTGTTTGTTCTTTCCTAGCAAAAGTTATAGTGGGATACATATTATGTCTCTTTTTTCAACCTGCTATAATATGTATCCCCACCACATAATACACAGATGATGGCCTATTATCAGGTATTTTATTTTGTGTATGATGAGGAGATTAAGTTGAATGATAAAGCATGATTAAGAGTGAGCAGTGATGAGATTTAAGTTGAAAGATTAATAAGCATCTTTGTAAGTGTAGAAAACAATTAACTGATTAACTGTTATGTCTTAAGTACATTTAATAGAAATGTTATAATTTTGCTTCAAATTTCACTCTGGCCTCTTAAGTTTGTGTTTGGCATAATACTTTATTTCAAATAAAAGTACTGAAACAAATGTAGTGTGACACAAAAAGGTGTTTATTAAAAAGTTTATTATTTTGGACCATTGGCACTTAAGCCTTGAAGACTACCACTCACCACACATTGACCAATTGTTCTGTTCTGATAAAAGATTTAAACTTAAACACAGATGTCAGAGCAGCAAGCTTTTCCTTCAGTGATGGGAATTATGGTGTTTGTTGGTGTTTCTCCTTTAAGCTTTTGTAACTCAGCCTGATGATGATTTATGGCTGGCTGGGTGAGCTGATTAAATCACCGAACAGAACGCCAGGAAGCATTACCACGGCCATCAACACTCTATATGGTCTTCGCATGGCAACAACTACGTTCCTATCTGCCTGTCTGTCGTTCGAACATCTGTCTCTTTTCCTTTCTAAACAGGCAGAGTCTAGAGAGAGAACGATGACCCCAATGAATCTAATTCATCTCCATGGATACAGCACTACAGAGCTGGGGTTTTAATTGTATACTGTTGTATTGCACAGCTCAGCAAAGGAAAGCAATGATGTGCGAGGGCTATGTAATGGGGTTTGCATGTCTGAAGTAGTCTTACATGCATGTTTGGTGCAGATATATCCATGCAGGTTAGGCTGCGATCACACTGAAATTTGTTGAATGTAATTCTCTCCAGTGGAATGTGTTAGGACTTTGTTCATTGTGTTGCTATGTACGTGTTGCATATTTTACATTGATACTCGAAATTACATTGTCATTTTGCCTGACAGCACTGGCAATGCTCCTTATAACTTTCTATAACGACTTTAAATTAGTCTAGGTGACACATTCTGACTTTAAAATCCATCACTTGATGGTATTTTACATTGCGTCCAGCAGTAGTGCGTGTCTGTGTTGGAGAGAAGCACATAAAGAGAACTGTTAAATTTAGTATGTTAATATGGAAAGAAATTGATTTTGATTTAAAGAGGTTAGGTATTTACTGCATCTAATCTTATCAGTTGTTAAACCGTGCACAATGAGGAAAGAAGGCACACAAATTTGCGATATAGGGCTCCCTTCTAGACACGAACACAATGTGTGTGCACGTGAGCTTCATAACAGGAAGCCCAAGGGCCTATCATAACAGCCTGCACTGGGGCCCGTTGTTACAACCTTACGCTATTGCCAGCAGCCCGAGCAGTTGATGGCCTGTAAATTGTTGATCAGTGGCTTGGCACATACAGGGCAAATTGATTCCAGGAGAATCCTCCAGGAAGGCCAAATATACAGCCATGCATCAGAATGAGATAGGGGAGATGAGGGTAGAAAGAGGCTGTATGAAGGTGGAGTAAAAGAGAGAGAAAGGGAAAGACAGAAAGAAGGGTGAAAATGTCAGAGATTCACTGTGTGTCTGAAAGGACATACGCAGAAGAGACATAGTGGAGGGTGCAAAAAAGAGAAAAAATAACAGTGAAGAATGAAAGCAATTGTGTGTGTGTGTGTGTGTGTGTGTGTGTGTGTGTGTAAGTCAGAACATGAGCATGCGTTAGAGACAGAAGCAAAAATAGATTTATAAAGAAAGCAAAGGCTCATTGTTATTGCTATTAAATTACAATACCAACTTCTCTAAAACCTACTAAGTAATGTGTATCTCCTTTGTTTAACTAATTCAAAAAGAAAAATGTAAAAACAACAAGATGTGGTTTCAGAAGCAGTTAAATGCCTTTTTAAAAGGCAGTAAAATGCAGTGTGCTTGCGTACACAACAGGGTGTTCTAGGCACCACCATTTCCGTTGAAAAAAAACAGTTTCGGTACTGAACTCACCAGAAGCTTCGCAGCGAAACAAGGATCATGCCATTTTGGAGATTTGGGGGTGCTTAACTTCTGATTTTACATAGAACTACCAGTTTTCTCCCAATTCATTTCAATTCAATTCAATTCAATTTTATTTATATAGCGCCAAATCACAACAACAGTTATCTCACAGCGCTTTTCATAAAAGAGCAGGTCTAGACCGTACTCTGTGATGTTATTTACAGAAGCCCAACAGTTCCCACCAAGAGCAAGCACTAGGCGACAGAGGCAAGGAAAAACTTCCTTTTAAGAGGCAGAAACCTCGAGCAGAACCATGGCTCAGGGTGGGCGGCCATCTGCCTCGACCGGTAAGTTATTGTTCAGCCTATTAGAATATAAATTTCATCATATAATGCTGCAAATAAACATGTAAGAAGAAAAAAGCTTTTGATAAATGTTTTTAAAGTGCGCGAATAAATCCAAAATTGTAACCTTAACCCTTAAGGAAAGGGGTCAGTGTGCATGTGTAGGCGTATCGTGTATATGTGTCGTGGCAGAAGAGGAATATTTTCTGACATATATGACAGCTAGGTGAGGAGATGACACGGTGAGCGTTTGTGTAATCTCGTGAGACTTGGTGCAATTCAAACATGGCAGCGCGCAGCTAAACAAACAATTCATTAAACAAACAATCCGCCAATTTTAAGCGAATTAACAAATAAGAGCAGTCAAATCGCACTGGAGGACCTCGAGGACGAGTGTTTGGAGGACCTTGAAGTTTATATTGACCAGTGTTTTCATCGAGTGGTCATGGGGAAATCAAAAAGAAACCGCACTGAAGACTCACCTGGAGCATCACCTGGAGCAGTCTCCTCGCAAGGTGCAGATTTTACAGAGATTCTGGATTCAATAGACAAGAAATTGTCCAGCTTTGATGCCCGATTATCTCTTGTGGAAGTACTTCACAAAGAGTTTCAGGCTCTGCGGGAATCCCTGGAGTTCAGCCAGAAACAGGTGGTTGAGCTCGCGGCAGAAAACAATCCCTCACGGAGGGAATGACGCGGCTCTCGGCAGACAATAAAAACATTAGAGAAGCAATCATCAATCTCCAGGCTCGTAGTATGCGGGATAATCTGGTCATTTCGGGTATCCCGGAGCAGGCGGATGAAACCCCAGAGGAGACCGTTAAAAGCTTCATCCAAAATCAACTGAAGCTCCCGGCCGAGACCGTAAAGAACATCAGCTTCCACCGGGTGCACCGCCTGGGAGGACGGCGACAGGAGAACCAGAGGCCCAGGCCCATCGTCGCGAAGTTTGAACACTTCAAGCAGAAGGAACTGGTTAAAGGCCGCGTCAGGGAGCTGAGAGGGACCAACTTCAGCGTTAACGACCAGTTTCCCCGGGAGATCCTGGACCGACGCCGAGTCCTGTTCCCGATAAGAAAGAAGCTTATTGGAGAAGGATCACGGGCTGTCATCGCTGTGGATAAACTTTACGTCGATGGCCAGCTGTACCGCGACCGAGACACCACTCCTTGGCTCTACTAAGAACCAAGTCCAGCAACAGGTGAACTGTATCAGTATGCGATCATTTTTTCCCCTATCAGTTAATTACTCCGTGACATATGGCAAGTTAATAGTTATAAAATACAGTGCACGTCTCAACAGCCTATACTGTGGTTATCTGACTAGTCTGTCCGATAATGTTTTGTGTATTTTCCCCTGTTTTTGTTTCACTGTTTCTTTCTTTTGTTAATGTTGCTCTTCCTCCGCCGTTTACACATCGATCAGCTGCGCAATTTTCATACTGTTTAATTCACAAACAGTCGGGCACACCGCTAGCACACACACGCAGGCGCATACAACATGAACACATAGACACACACATACAGGCGCATACAACACACACAATGATACAACACGCACACTGCACACACTAGCCATCACCACATCCCTTAGTTGAATGATGACCTCACTTATAATCACCTCTTGGAATGTACGCGGAGTTGGTTCAAGGGAAAAGAGATTAAAAATTTTTAACCATCTAAATAATCTGCAAGCAGACATTGTCCTACTACAGGAGACTCATTTACCCAAGACAGCAGATAAACTAACCTCACCACAGTTTCCTCACTCGTACTCAGCCTGTTATAACTCAAAACAAAGGGGTGTCAC